CGTAGTGCTGCGGTCCTCCCCCGCCCCGCGCCCGCGCGGATCGCGTAGTGCTGCGGTCCTCCCCGCGTCCTCGCGGATCGCCGCGGAATATCTCCCTCCCCGCGGATAGCCCAGCGCTGCGGAATAATAAACGCTTCTCGACATCGTTCACCTTGATAAGAAAGTCATCAGCCAGGTTTCGACGCTTGACCCTGTGACTCATACGCGTCCAGGTGTTCGATGACAGGTCAGCACCTAGATATCTGTTACATGTCACGTAGTGACAGGTCAGCACCTTGCGTGACGTCAAGGTCGCGTACTCCCCCTCCTCCCCGCGGTCCCCTCGCCCCGGAGTAGCCCCCTCCCCGCTGTCCCCTCGCCGCGGGGTACCCCCCCGCCCCGCTCCCCCCTCGGAGCTCCCGGGGTAGAATCCCCCTATATACCCTACTAACATTTTTCTTATTAAGACGCCTCGGCTGTTATAGACAAGTTCTGCCCTTCTTAACAAAGAGGATCCATTCGAGTTGAATTCTTCAGTTCTCGCCAGTAACTCATAGCGAACTCAATTTGATTCGGCGCGCTGTTGTAATATTGTTTACCAAGTGTATTATCACCTACATGTCCTCAATAAAATTGAATCGTCAGTTTCGTGACTTATCGCACACTTAAAACATTACGTCACATTGTGTACGTAATATATTGCGGCTTTCACTTTCACAGACGTTGGAAACTGCGAGTTTGGGTGTTATTCCGATCAGCACAGAACTAAATAGTAAAATTAAGGTGATGCTGGAGTGATTCTGCACTTTTGCACACCTTTTGCACTTAAAACTGTCTGTTTCGTGGAAACATTTGTGTGATATACAAATTAAATGGCTTACGTTTACAGATCGAAAGCAGCTTACTATTTTAATCGCCACATTAAAGAGCAATGCATATTTAGTATACAATTAATCGCCTCAAACATAATTAATATAATTGATACATAAATTCGTTGGTGTTTTGTAACTTTTGTTTACAGAGTTGATATAGAGGAGAGTCCTCTTTTATAATAGTAAAATTTTATAATTATATAATTAGGAAAAATATAATAAAATCTTATAAGATATGTTCCTGTAACTATGAGATAGCGTGACTTCTGTTAAATTAATAGGTACCATCCATTGATTCCACCGTGAATTTATTGCCCTTAAAGTGAGGAGGTCTGTTTAATGGAAAATTCATTATTAGATTGTGCGTATAATCGTTGCAAAAACAATTTGTGAAATTGTACGTTGAAAACTCGCTATCTCATATTACAAACCTGTCTCGTAATAGAGGATTTTATTCTAATTACAAAGAAATTATAAGCACCTAAAATTAGAAAGAAATACTGATGAAAGCACGATAAAGAACTCAATGGTTCAAGTGATTTCTACTTTTCCCGATAAAGATAAAAAATTAAACTTAGACTTGGAAAAAAAAACTTAAATTTAAATTGTTTTATATATTAATTTCACATTGAAAAGCTATTGCGAGTACTTTAATCATCTGTTGCCAGAACAAGGAACGATGCAATTTAAAAGTAATTAGAATTAAGTGCAACTGAATTCACCTACGCAGTAAAAAATAAAATGTTGATGTTAACATTTTTCACGTGTCCCAAAAAGTCCACTCTAAATTTTTAGTTAAAATAACACTCGTCGCGTGTGTCACTTTTTCACAAATAATAAATGTTAATTAACTAACCCTGTACTTCACATTATATATTTATGTTCTTTTAACCATAAGCGTGATGTAATAAAAACAAACAGGATAAGTAAACTGTACGAATGTTACAAATTAGAATAGTTCAAATAAATTTTAAGAAATGTCGATATTACATGTTTCGATTGATTTTGTGAAGTAGTTGTGTTAAAAGAGCTCAAAATGATATTCAATATTTAAATGACGTATATAAAGTGTCAAGTTATTACGTTAACATATAGATATAACACAAATAAATGTTACGAAAATAATAACATATCTGTTCTATGTTAATTTTACATGGAAATAATAATCAAGTCTTGGTAACACAGGAGTATTTTAACATTTCAACGCACGATTTTTTACTGTGTATTATTATATCAATTGAGAGGTAAAAAGTTAACTTAAGTGAAATTTTTGCCATTTTTCAGACTTGCCATGAAAGAAACAATAAAAACAAATACCTTAAGAAGTTAAAAGAAGCATCCTACATGTATAATATCACATATGTAGATGATAAATATCTGTACCTGATAAATATTGTATACATATATATTAAATATTTAGCATGTAATGTGGTCCCGCGCATTTTCCGCGCGCGGTCCCTTGTTTGCTCCTCGCGAGTCATGAGAAAAACCCCAAAAAAATCCACGAGTAGAAAACCGCGCCTTTCATGCCGGAATAGCAAATTTCCAACTGCTGCAACATCGCAGTTTCCATTCTCGCGGGGAACAGCGGGATTGGCGGACAAAATGCGGAGAGCTGCGGTACGCACGTTGCCGCGGCTACAATGCCAGCCGAAAACAATTGGTAGCTGTAATGAGATTGGCTACCCGCCCCGACTGCCTCGCCGTCAACTGCGCACAAACGCCGCGGCCGATGCGTTTCTAGGTGGAGGCTCCACGTCACCACCGACGAAACACTATTAGCCTGATTGGAAGTACCAAGGTGAAAACATTTGTTGGCGGCGCGCGAGATGGTCAAACAAGCAGCCCCGTTAATGACGTGTTACGGTCGCAGTGTGAGCCGTTAAACACGGACGGAATATCCGAAGCTGCGGGGATCGAATCTCTGATTCTACAATTAGACGCGCCGGTAAAAGTACGGCGCCGATGAATATTTATAAAGCCGATCATCGTAAATACGATTCCGAGTGCTCCGCGTGACCGAACTGTGACGATTGATCTTCCCAATGTGCTCTATTGTATTTTCCCGAGGGGGAAACCGCTGACCAAAGTTTTGTACACCAATGCCCACTAATGCCCAGTGGGCATTACTTTATCTTATTATCTTGTTTTATCTTATTGTATCTTTATAATGCCCCAGCAAGGCATAATGCCCAAAAAGGGGCCTACTCTCTAAAAATCAATTAGTGAATTATCACTGGAAACAGTGAATAGCCACTGATTTGCAGTTATAAGTATACTACTGAAAATTTCAGTGGTATACTTATAACTGTAAATCAGTGGCTATTCACTGTTTCCAGTGATAATTCACTAATTTATTTTTAGAGAGTAGTAATGCCCAGTAAGGCCGCAAATCTGTACACCACAATGCCCTCGGCGGTTTGCCCCTCGTATTTTTGGTTACGAGAATATTGATTCAGGATTGGATTACCATGTAACATATACATATTATACATCGGATAAATTACCATATAAGTCCGCGCATAATAACAATAATAATTTATCGTATACATTAATGATTATACAAGGCAGCATACATTTGATACTTAAATTGTTTCTCACAAACAAAAGAGTCGAAACTCTGCGTTGCAAATGGATCGGTACTCGACTTCCAGTGCGAAAATGGTATAACGTGCGTTCTTTTAAGTATTTACGATGTTTCTTGTTAAAAAGAAAACTGCAAAAAATGAGAGCACCAAATGCAAGATATTTATTTTGCGTCCCGATTCATTTAGATCGAACGAGTTCATTTGCAGGAACGGCTGGCCAAAGTAGAACGCTGGAAATTGAAGATGCGATAAGAGGGATGCACTTGCGCCGTCCTCGTAGCACCGAGGATGATAATCAAATTCTCAAAAAGTGCGATCTCCCTATCAAGATTCTGTCACGAAAAAGTTCCCAGGGACTGTCACGGGAGTTAAGAGAAAAAGAAGGCCGAGATAGGGAACGACACGAGGAGAACGAAACAAGGAGAATGTACTTTGTAACTACGTAAAATGGCGCAACAAACGATTTCGATGGGATATAACGCGCGTTAAATGTTAACGGAAATCGATACTCCCAACTAGGAACATCTCTACTCGTGCGTATGTGTGTGTGTGTGTGTCTGTGTGTGCGCGCACGCGTGTGTATCTGTTTGCGTTATAAAAAATTCGATAAAACGTCGATCCATCGGACGTAATAAAATTTTCTTTAACGCGACGCTGCTTTTGTAACGAGAAGTCTCCCCCGAAGATAGAAATAACTCGCTTGTTTAATGCAACCGTCGTCAGGTCGTTGTCCTCGGGAGATCGGGGAGGGAGAGCGAAGGAGAAGGAGGCGAGGTGTTCCGCGAGCTGGGGACGAAGGGAAAACAGCATTTCTTCCGGCCGCCTACGTGTCAAGGGTTGAAAAAAAATATACGATATGTTACAGAAAAAACAAACGGAGGTGCAACGAGGTCAGCTGACGTCGCGGGCTCCTCTTCGGACGGCCGACGGTTTACCGCGTATCTCAAACCACTGCGAAGAAAAAGCTCAATAACGAGAAACGGAGGGGGGAGGGGAGGGTGCGTACTTGCAACGAAAGGGTGGAAAAATCGTCCCCGGCGGGTAGGAGCCAGTTTAATTTCTTTAATCTGGTTTTCCGTCTGGACGACCGGGACTTTCCGCGACGCGAATAAATGCGAACGCAGGCAAATTGCCGAGGCTCGTGTCTTTTGTCCTTCATCGTCTTCCGCGAGTGGAACCGAAGTTGAAATGTCGCAGCGAGATAGCGACGGCGCCATATTGCGTGAAGCGCGTATTACCTCTGCGCTGCCGGGGTCTCAGATATTTCTCGGTATTTATTAAGTGTTAATTAAATATTACAATTAATTAAACGCACATTTATAATTAACGATGAAGCCAGCAACAGGAATCGCTCCTTTTCTAACGGATTTAACACGCAGCTCTCTCTCTTTCTCTCTCTCTCTCTCTCTGTCTCTCTCACCCTCTCTGTCACAGTTACCCGATATCAGGAGACATTCCAGAAATTTTCCCCTCTGATTGAGATTCGAATCGAGTGGTAACGCGAGACTGAACAAAGGACGCGAGCGCACGTTTGCGAGGCTATTGATCGTCAGTTTCTTACCTGGCGATCCCGGTGTTCCTCCCACACCTGTCGTTTCCGGAATCCAACCTCGTCCATTCTCCGGAAGTGTACCGGGTCCGCGGCAGAAGAAATTGACGTTCTTTCAGCAATTCCGCTAACTGCGCGTAGCGCCTTAAAGCTTCCATCTGGCGTGATTCCCCGTACGATCGCGGTCGAAATTGTACTCGCGTGCCCTCCCGGCGCAGCTTGCGGGACACTTCATTTTGCGCTGTTCAGGGGCACTTTTCGCGCGACACCATTTACTCCTCCATATACTTTCCTTTTTCACTTAACTGGTCGCCGCTTCACCGAGGAGAACTACAAAGCGTTGGCTCGGCACCGCAGAAACAGCACGAACAGAACTGTTTATCGGACGGCAATCCCGTTTGTTGTTATTCCATTAAAGCATACTTTTTACACATTCGCACACCATTTCCCTTTCTTTCCCTCAGAAATGCCCGCTCGTCCATCTCTTCTTCTGCAAATGAAAATATTCGCCGCTTCGAGACCGTTCCGTTTTTCTTCAGGGTACGATAAATCCCGAAATTCGCGTGTTGGGCAATATCTAGCGTATACAGGACGGCTGTTGTAAAAAAAAATTTGCCCCGACTCTTCCAAATTCCTGTCATCTCATTTTATAATCGCGAATAATATTCGGTTGATGCATAAGCTCGTCCCGTTTTTAAACATTCGCGCACTTTATATGCGAATTCGATCGTTATACGCATCAATCCAATACTACGATATAACGCAGTATTGAAACTTGTGTTTTGTGAAAGAGTCAAAACTATCTAGATTCGAAATAAAGCTTCTCGTTGATCCAACTGGCAATATATTTAGTTAAGTGTTAAATTTGGTACGACGTTTCGACCCAAGTCTCAGGTCCTTATCGAGTAACCGAACTCGTGTATAGATGTTCACAGAGCATAAATTATAGCAGACTCACAGGTGATTGTAGACGTAGGGAATTGTCAGAAAAATTAGACCAGTTCAACTGATTCAGCAGTTCAACTCGGAAGTTAATAACGTGCGGACGTGCTCACTTAGTTAAAATAATTTTTCTCATTCCATCCAATAAGGACGCAGAGTCAGGTGACTTAGGGGCTAAAACACCTGATTGGCTCTCGTAAGCAATCCAGTAGGAAAAATAGTATCGCGTGCCATTGTTGGCTTAACTCGTCGTACACCGGGCTTTACTCTTATTACGTCAGATTTATTGATTATATATCAGTACAAAGCTATTAAGCTGTCAAGGCTACCAATGTCTCTGTTACGCCCATATTTTTTACATCCGTTTAAAAATGGCATACGTCCACTTATTTGCATTACTTAAACTTCCACTCTTATTACATCAGATTTTCAATGTACTCGTGCGCAGTTATCAATCGATCAATAAGCTTACAGCCATTGAAGGTTCCATTACTGTTAATATCCATACTCTTATGTTTCATATCGCGTTATAACAGAGCAAAAAAAGGATTCGTCGAATTATTAGCATTATTCAAACACCTCGTATCCTCCATATCAACCCACGCGATCACATTGAGAGAAGCTCTTCGAGCGTTATATCGGTTACGTTTCACCACTTCACTCTTTCTCCCCGATATCTCCACGTCGAAACACACGGCCCTCCGCGTTCTTATATCCACGAAAGCGTGGATTACACGTGGGGTAGGTCCTCTTTTCATCGCGAAAGACAGGAAGAACAAAAAGCTGATCTTTATTGCCCCGCCGAGACGCGCTGGTTGTTCCAACGAGATATCGCGAGAGGCTGTTTAGGCGGCACGGATTTAACTCTGCTCCTGTCCCCTCCAATCCTGAACCCATTTTTTTTCTCACCCTCATCCCATTGTCCTTGCTGCGTGTAACTTTCCTTGATCGGCTTAACTGAATCGTTATATCCGCGATAGGCCCCGACACATTTCATTTATAACGGTATTTGCAACAATAATATTTTACGAATAACTGAGTCGTAATTAATTTCGCGTTTTTCATTGTATAATAATTTTATATTGTTATATAATATTATATAATAATCTATATAATAATATAATTTTTATATAATAAATAATATATAAAAATATTGTATAATAATATATAATAATTAGGAGTCTGTTGAAATTATGATTTGGTGGGGCGCGCGTATCCACGTGCGTTTACAATTTTATTTTAATTAACAGCTGTAAAAGTGGTTCACTGTACGATTGTTCAGAAAATTAAATGTCTTAATTGTTTTTTCATTATTCAAAATTGCATTTCTGTTCTAGCGGGAAAAAAATGAAATATCTTAGCCGACTAGAATTTTTTCGGTTTCGTGCGCTTCTCGACGAATGGGCTATTTAATTTATATAACTATTCATATCCGAATAATAGCGATCTGTAGGGATTTATAGGTCACAGTGACGTCGTCTGTGCAACGAATCTCATGAGAAATTCAGAGTTTGCAGCAAATGGGACAGCGTCGTCGAACAAGATCGTCAACGTTTTCAGTGCTGCCATTTTGTAATATATACCGATGTCCGCCGCATCGTTTCATCAAGGTGGCTACTGTTTTCCGATAACGAAATATCGATCTACAATGAGGAAGGGCTCGAGTGGCTCTGCGACCTAAGAAGCATCTCTCTCCTACGTCACGGCAACTTTTTTTCATGTCTTACCTTTACAAAAGAGGAACGAAAAAACCTACGGCCTTTCCTCGGCCGTGGAGGAATCCCTTCGGTCTCACGAGATACGTACCGTATATATCGCAAGGAACATTTTTATTTCTCGCGACGATCTGTGAAACTCGTGCCCTCAATCTGGCGATCGTTCTCGGGCAGGAAAACTTCGAGCCAAGAACCTTCGGAAGAAAGCGACGTGGACAGAATCCCGCGTGACGCCGATGAACAATCCTCGCGCGTGATCGACATTTTCGCGTCGCGGGGAAAAAATTACGCGAGACAAAACAATGGTGTGACGAAGTTTCTCGCGCGCTTCCGCTCTCCCATCTCTCGTCGAGAGACGTCCAGGAATTTTTCTTTTCGAACGGATGAAACTGCCACAAGGCAGTCCAAGCGGTCCGGGCCGGTCGCCGAGATGGCCGCGGGAAAGGATGCACTTCGAATTCGGGAGTAATGAAATTTATCACTGCAACGTGATCGGAAGCGATAATCTGCCGGAATGCGCTCCTTCCGAAACAATTTCGCGATTATCGCGATATTTTAAGTTCACATTATTTCATTATTTACGTGAAACGAAAGAGCTGATGTACAGTTGCAAATTTGCTTCGCTCAAGTGTCTCACGTTCGTCGGCGTAAATTTAACGGTTAAAGCGGAGGACAATTAATTAAATTTCAACACTTTTATCCATAGAGTCAACTGGATGCTTAGGAATAAATTATCGGTGCGATTAACGCGACCGGCTCTTCGAGGACTTTTGAGAATTCACGATTCGAAAGAGCAGCGGGCGGTGGAAACCAATTTTAGCATACACTTGGGATCATTTTGACGAAATGTGTGTAATTACTTCGACGAAGATAGAAATGTACAGGCGTTTGACAAGCTTTTCGATAGGATCTTTCATTATTGACGATTTCTCGACGAAGACGTATAAAATCGAAGCGTTTTGTAAATCCTGCCTCTCCGTCGCTAATTTACAATAATAGAAGTAGTCTAACAATTCTTTCTCCATTAATTAACCATAACGGAAGTTACACCTTTATTTAATTAAAAAATTTAATTCACTCTGTCCCTTAATCAATTTACTGCCACGCTGCAATCTGATTCGCTCATTGAAGCCATTATGTTTCGCGAGCTCAGATCTTCATGCAGTCACCAAATAAGCGAACGAGATGAGAAGCGAAATTAATATTCGTATGTGTCCAAGTGGGTCGCGCAAGAGGGAAGTAATATCAGCAAAATTATAACGACGGCCGTGCAATAATTATGCGGCTTTCGGAGCTCGTAATGTCTTCAGCCTCGCTCCTTACGTGGATGAGTGCGCAGTTGGCCGCTGGAGTAACTTCAAGACTCCGTAGTTGTTCTCGGTGGAGAGGAAAAAAAGACGCGAAAAGGAAGGACCCGAGGGAAATGGAAGCCATCTATTACAGTATGATGCGTCGTATTGCGTCGCGCGACGTATCGTGGTGAAATAAATGACGGTCGTGCTTCGATTCACAACGCACATTTTAATTTATTACGAAACAAAAAACAAAACACCGATCTAAGTCGCCAACGCATTAGGCCGATATTACATTTGTCGTACGGCAAAATTTTTAAGCGTGTTGATTGGCTACAAGCTAGAACCTTTCTAGATACTCGAGAACTTTCCTATCCGCAGCCAATGAACACGCTGGAAAAATTTGTCGTATGACAAAATCTTTAAGCGCGTTGATTGGCTACAAGCTAGAAAATTTCTAGATACTCTAGAACTTTCTTATCCTTGTCGTATGACAAAATTTCTAAGCGTGTTGATTGGCTACAAGCTAGAACATTTCTAGATACTCGAGAACTTTCCTACCCTGCAGCCAATGAACACGCTTGAAAAATTTGTCGTACGACAAATGTAACATCAACTTTATTCTTGGAACTTTTAACGTCTCAAATTACTATTAATCGTTTTATAATTCCGTACAGGTTTGATTTTAAATGATGCAAAATGTTTGCCTTGTAACTTCACGCGTATTCCGCATCGCGATAATTAATACTGAATGACTGTTCTTTTGTTCGCCGCAGGGCTGACAAATATTACATAACTAGGCATGTAAATAAAACATTGAAATTTAATCGCGCGGCCTCGCCTACGCGCCGTGTAGGCGAGGTCACGCGATTAAGTTTCAATTTTTCATCTCTGCATGCGCCAAATTTAAATTGGACAAATGACAAATTCTGTCACGCAATAATTAGTCTGTATAAAAGGAGGGCGAATCGGAAAGGAATGTAAATCACACACACACACACACACGCGGGCGCAGACGTAAAATTCGTTAGTAGGTCAACTTAATGGAGAAATTACGGCGGTAATTTGGAAATTGCGATACCAACGGTACAATAGAATCGTTCGAACAACCAGCGGAGATATATCGACTGGAAGAAGCTGCAACTACTAATCACGATGGATTTATATCGTTAGATTAAACTCGCCTCGTACACCTTGCCAATTTAACACTCAACTGATTTAATGATCAGTGCTTAACGGTGCATTTGCTGAACATCGAGCGATGCAGATATTCGAAATTTTTCACTCCCTCTCTCTATTCAATATAGAAATCAAAAACGAAAGTGGCGGTAGCAAACGTCGGGCGATAAATGTACACCCAGGAGGAACGAATCGACAGGAAGGCGGACTTGATATCGAGATACCTCGTGAAATTTGCCTTCGGAATGTTCCGTGAAAAATATTTTGCGCATTTGCATCCGCGGTATGCGCTCTATCGAAATTCGATGGTTCGAGGACGTTCGAGTGTGCCGGGGAAAACAGATAAACTAGCCAGACAGACGCGGAAGCGGAGGTCAATGTCCTCGAAAAGGCGCGTATCGCAGGGTCGTATCGGAGATCCGCAGCTTGCAACTCCGGCGGAGGGGACTCGGTATGTATAAAAGCTCGAGCGGAGGATCTGTAATAATGGTCACGTGTCGTCGTTTCGCGGAGACGCTTTTTTCTTTTTGTTCGCGAGGGCGAAACGTTCCCGTACGCCGCGTGTGTTCGAGGGAGAAATTCAGAAGTCGGACTCTCGAACGAGCCGTAAATGTATTTTCCGCGCAACGATAAACAACGCTCCTCGTCTCGAGAGATCGCGCGTAAAAATTCGCAGAATCTCGGAGGAGAGGCAGAAAAAAAAATGAAATCACCCTCTTTGTGCGAGACACAATTGCCAAATCCCCGCTTGCCCCGCGTATTTTCTCACCAACGTCGAGGTCGAGGGGTACTCCAAGAGAGCGCGCGATTGAAGGAAGTTCCGGAATTCGCGAGCGCAGCGGGCATCCGCGCGAATACGCGCGCACGCACTCAAATCACCGCTTCCCTTCGGCTTGCGGCGCGCGTCGCTCGCATCTCGCAACGGGGCCGCTTCGGGCCCGCCGGGGCAGCTCATCGGCGTCCACCCGGAGTTAACTATCGCGACGCACGTTGCGGCATCGCCGAAGGAGCGTCCTCGGGCCCCGGGGTTGTCGACCCGGCTAACAATCGCGGGGCGGCTCGTCGCCTCTCCTCGCGAATCCCCGTCGCACCGAGGGTGGACGTGAAGCCGGCTAAGCACGCACGCACACCCGCACCGCACGCACTTGCCCCGTGAATCGTGCACGCGAGACCACCCCGTCCGTCATCCGCACCCACGCGCGAGCTCACGCCGCCTCGTAGTAGACGCTCGTCGTGCGGTCGATCGGGACTATTTACGCCGAGGATGCGACATCTCTCGAGGGGGGGCCAGTCAGAAAAGGGGTGGATTGGCGAACGTGAGTTTAACCGCGTGGGGTGGTCTTTTGGGGTGCCGGTCCCGACGTTGACTGCGCCATCGGGCAGACTCCATCGCGCCGCTCAACGTCGGCGTCGGCGGCGGCGGCGGCGGCGACGCCGACGCCGCCGCCGCCGCTGCTGCCGGTGAGCGTCGACTATCGATTTTTCCGCGCAGCCTCCGCGACCGGAACACGCCGGTGCACGTCTCCGCTCTAGCTAGTCCTGTCGACGGCTTGCCTGTCCTGCGAGACTGTCGGGTCGATTCCTGTTTTGCCCTCTTTGCCACAGACCGCCTATTGAATTTACGTCGAATCTACCGAAAAGATTTCCCCGCGACGTCGATCGAGAGGAGATAATTATGATAATGAAGCCGGGAATCGAGAGGCGGAGACCGCGGTTGATTTGATCGCGGTTGCTCGGGGAGCGGTGTTTCTGACTCTGCTGCCGGGAGCAAAAATTTCGCGTCTCTCCGTCGAAGAAGAAGAAGAAGCCGGACTGATAATGTCAATTACTTTGACGTCGCTCGAGCGACAACGATAGGGAATAAAAGATCGTGAATAATGGAAATGCACGATTTCGAATTAGATCTTCGGGATGCAAATTTATACTACATTTGTTTGGCGGATTTGGTCGCACCCGACTTCGCCGGTCTCTCATCCGGCGGGAGCCGATTTTTATCTCGTTTCTTTCTGACATAAACTCTCTCTCTCTCTCTCTCTCTCTCTCTCTCTCTCTCTCTCGCTATCTCTCTGTACAAGATATGTTCATTTTTCAATCTTCTTGCTCCGAGAATCCTTGAGGATTGCGATACGCCAGAGGTATTTCATCAAGTTCACGAACGATGATGTTTATTGAACTTTCCCTACGGCGATTTTCTTGCAGCAGCCTGATTTATCTCAATAATGTGGCAACGTACACATTAATTTCCATGGAATTGTTACATTACGCGACAACTTGCGTCGATTCTTCGCACATCTGTGCCTAATAATATTATGCAATTGTTCACGATAGCGCATACATACGTTGCTCTATTTAATTAACTCAACTGTAATTAATTTAACGTAATTACGTTGCATACATGCAAATAAATAATATTAATTCGCCCCGCCGATCTCCATACACAGGGTGAGTCATTTTAGTTGACGCACGCAAATATCACTTCGGGGAAGGGGGCTAGCAAAAAAATGACCTGGGCAAAAGTTGTTGGGTTTCGAGGGGGAGATAAGGTGTTGTTAATTTGACCTTGAAAATTGAAGATGACCTTCACGTGACCTTCAAGCAACTATTCAAGGTCAAATTAATGGCACCAACTTATGTCCCCCTCGAAACCCAACAACTTTTGCCCAGGTCATTCTTTGCTAGCCCCCTTCCCCGAAGAGATATTTGCGTGCGTCGATTAAAATGACTCACCCTGTATATACAATAAGTAAATTGATCACTGCAGGCGTGTCGCTGGCAAACGAATTGATCTGTTAAAGCCACGACATATTTTCGCGAATTTTAATTCACGTAATGCGTGGTTCGCGCCACATTATCACCAGCAAACCCGTGTATTTCTTTGCAAATACTTCCTTATTATGCGCGAATTTAGTAATCAGCTTATCGCGGAAGCGAAGCACTGGCGTGACGCATTCGATATCGAGTGTATTATTCTCAGCACGCGGAAAGTTCTAATAATGTTACGAGAGAGAGAGAGAGAAACACAGAGAGAAACACACAATTTGGTTAAACAAAGCGATACATCACGTCGTAGAGGAAACTTCCCGTGATACTTCACTGTAATCGTACGTTACACTTCTATCAAATTAAGATGCGCATAGAGGAAAGCTCGCAGGGCCTAAAAGGTTACTGCAGATTGAACTCGCTCGCTGAAAAGTGACACGAGCGATCGATCATTTCAATCCGGTCGCTCGAGATGGAAGGCCGAGATTAAATATCCATTGTATGGCCACTACGTGTCTGGATAACATCCGCCGTGCCATTGGACAGTTTCAGGTAGTTTCGAACGATTCTAATTACAAACATAGTCGGCCGCAAGAGAAGGCAATAAAGCCCTGGAGGGTGGATCGAAACTTCGTCGATTATCGAATCCGCTTGCTCGGCGTATCGGGCAGGAAAAGTCAGACATCTCACCCTACCGGAGGCACCACATGTTCCTTTTAATTATGTAATATTTCTCGGTGGCCGTAAGTAAGTGCCCGCGGAAAATGTGGCAGTATTGCGTGTCCTAATGATACTATTCGTCTTCCAATCTTCATCCATTTGCAGCAAAGTTCAACGTGTCTGTTTAAACATCTATGCGCCCATGATTAATCACTTGTAAAATTCCATCAACGCCCAATATAACGTGTATTCGAGTAGTCTTTTCAAAGCAAAATTTATTTTCAATCTCAACATTTTCATTATTATTATTAAAATTCTAAATAATCTGTTTTTGCACCGTGTAAAAAACAAAGAGAAGTTCTATTATCCTCAGGATTACATTTTAAAAATATCTCGCCCGCCATTGCTATTCGCGTGTTGTAACAAAGTTATAATTTTCAATTAACTGGAAATCTATTTAGAAAAAGCGAGACAAAGCGAAAAGGGGGAGGAGAAAAAAATAGAACAGGAATGAAATTGGCATAGGCAGAGGAAATAACAACGAAAAAACTCGAGTGAAATAAAGCCGCGAACGAACGCGTCGTATTTTCTTGCTGCCGGCCGGGGCTGATCATGAAACGGATGAGTCTACTTGGAGCCAGTAGTGGCACTCGATCTACGGTCGGACAATAAGGGAAGTTAGCTTACGCTAGCGTTTTGTCCGCGGGCGATGAGTGATCCTCGAGATTGAGATAAAAAAGATATGCCGGGCGGATCCACCGAATGTCCCTACGTCACGCGGGGTGCGCGGGGGAAGCGTATACAGGGTGTTATGTAATACCCGCCTCACCTCTTATTTTTGGATAGAGCGAACTAGACCGAGTCGAGAAGTCCTCTACCATTTTGCAAATTTCGCAATAGCTAACGAGTCATTAATTATTAAAAATCGCTGTCTTAGCCCGGCGTCGGAGAGTTGTTTACTATACGTGGCCGTTGCCGTATGTCGTAAACAAGTCCCCGCGCGCCTAGCAACGCCAATCGCGGGACGGCCGCATCTCGTCGTGCGTTTGAATTGGTCGGTAGGCCGGGCTAAGACAGTGATCTTTTATAATTAATAACCCGCCAACAATTGCGAAAGTTGCAAAATGGTAGAGGACTTTTCGACCCAGTCTAGCCCGCTCTATCCGTAAATAAGAGGTGAGACGGATATTACGCAACACCCTGTATATTACACATCGACCTCGCGGAGCATGAAATGGCAATAAGAATGACAAAGGATCTCATTAACGCCGCTGGGAAATGTCTCGCGCGCGGGGAAATTTGATCTCGATATGGATGAATATATCACGTTCGCATCCAGAGACGGAAAGTTTCGATACGGAAAGTAGGGCAGCGCGATAAATTCGTCGAATTACAACCAAACGCACAACTACGCGCAATGCGTTAGTCTGATCGAATTTTTACCTGTTATCGGATCTTGCGTCGTACTTTGGCCCAACGGATAGCCAAATCTGCCGGAGCAGATTTCGTCAAATGCCCACTGCAAGTTTTGAAGGCAGAAAGACTGCAGATTGTGCACACGGGGACTGATATGTTCGACATGTTGCCAGTAGGTCAGTGGAAATACAACAAAACCTGCTCACATAACTGGACCTGCTCGGTTTCTACCGATAGTCCGTTGACAGCGTATGTTTTACAGACTCTGTTGGCAAAACAAAAGTCAAATGCGGACACAGATGGCTACGGTCTTGGTGTGGGTTTCTAATGAATCCGCTGCCAATCCGATGCCAATCGGTTAACATCTGCTGACTGGGATTGGGACGCGACCCTTGTACGGGACGTAAACGAGGCGTCGATATTTCACAGATTTTCTGCATTTACAAGATTGCGAATCGTCAACCGATAACGTGGGAGATGCGATTAGCGCGACATTTCGACGAAAATTGCTCCGTGGGGGAGTAGAATTGGTTTATTTATAAATATTCAAAGGAGGCGGCGGACGATAACCCTCCGAACCGCCCTTTTAAGGCGTGAACGATGGCCGGCATATATCTCCGATCGTACATAAGGGAGGATTCGAGTGAGCGCGCTTCAAGTATCGCATGTGGAAGGTCCTTCTGAGTGAAATGATAAAAGAGACGTTCTCCGCGGGACGCTCGGAGAATGGGGATAAATTCAGGAAGCTGTAAATCTCGTGGAAATCTCTCGTCGGGGCAATGCGACTGAGGACGGCCACGAGACGGTCATCAACGAAAGATACACGGGCTATCGCCGAAAAAAAATGTGTACGTACACATATAAGTGTCGTCCTTTTCCGCGATTATACCAAGGACGGCAAACGAGGTGGCTTGGCGTCCGAATTCAGCATCTATTACTTCTCTTCCACTTGCCGTGTCCCATTTCTTTCCTCATGCGCTAAAGTGTGATTTAATTAATAGGTTCCCCGACGTAGAACAAGTGAAGTAGGGATGGTTGCTAAAGTAAGAAGTGCGATAAAAAATGAATGGCACGGAGCGCACGGTAAAGTATGTCAAAGTCCAGCGGAATGTGCGAAAAACCGCTGAAGGACAGACTGATATCTTCCGCGATTTCTGTTCGCGTTCTGTCGTTCTTCGCTAGAAATTTGTGTAAACTAAATAACGCAGTGCTCCCTCTTTTTTCAATAAGCGTAAATAACTGCGTTGTGCGGATACGATAAATGGATTATTGCGGTTGCGAAACAGTTTTATTTACCACGCGTGTCTCTGTGTGCAAAATGAAACGCACGGTTCCTAACGTCTTACCGCAAATTTATAACATCGAGATGTATATTTTTCCAATTTTGCTGTGCTCCGATTCACCTCCTATAATTTTCTAACCAAGCTTACGAGCTTTTCACAGGCAGTGGCCCGTAACTGTCATGAACATATGGTTGATGTTTTAATACTAATTGCTTGCTGTGTTATATTAAATATATATAGTTTATTGCTTCCCCTGAGGGTTACAAGAATAACTTCTACATAGGTAAAACCAAATATGTACAAAATATAAAAAAACAATTTTACAATACGTTTCGCTCTCACAATTATTTTATATCCTTTCCTCGCTTTAGTACCTACTCGCATTTTCATCCTATCCTCTCCCTTCTAACCTATACACACACACATACACACATACACACACACACGCGCGCGCGCCCGCTCTGGACTTCCGTTTCCGTTTACAAACTCCTTTTTCCTATATAATTCCTCTTTCTCCTACCCCCCCTCTCCCTCATTCCCTCACACTCATTCTCCATCCATTCCTCCACCCTCCCCTGGTTCTATCCTTAGTCCCTCCAACGTCCTCAGCCAACCTTCCCCCTCTCCTTCTTCTCCTAACACTTCTTCCACCATATCCTGCCATGTTTTTCCTACCCCCCAATCCACGCACTCCTCCCACATAGAGACCTTGTAATCAGAGGCTGGCCGCAAGACTTCGTCATTCGTCAAAGATTCTACGATCGTAGAAGAGTGAGATAGCCTATGTTTCTCTCTCACTCGCGGGAATTTGACGAACTCTTATGGCCAGTCTCCGATTACAGGGTCTCCACTCCCACATATGCTCCCATGTTTCCTCCCCCCCTTTCACATATCCTGCACTTTCCATTACATTGAATATTTTTAATGATAATTACTCGCCGCGATTATAACGAAGCTGGAGCTTTATCGTATGGATAAACGGACACACTCACTGTGTCGCTAATTCGAAGTCCGGAGCTTCCTTAATTTCTGCGTATGTACTCGCTAATGCCGTACTCGTAATGTCGCGCATATCACCGGCGGATTTTGCGCGAGAGCACCCCGAGTTCACGAGGGGGTCGACCAACAAGAATATTAACGCGGCTGTCGCCGGCCACTCGTCACGCGGGACCCACGCCGTGCTAATCCACCTCGTTACTGCGATGAATCGTACAAAAATAGGTCTGTCGTCCTGTATTGTGTTGCGCGTGGAAATACATTGAAACGATATTTAAAAGCATTAATCCGCCGGTATTGCATTTCATCGCGAATTTATGACACCGCGATCAAAACACATTTTGCTTAACTTTTGGCCTCGTCCCAGTTTTACTTTCTATCTACAATCTAACCTGATCAATACGATTTCAAGAAATTGCTCCAAATTTATTTATCAGAAAAATGCGCATCTGCTCAAGAGACCCTCGGACAGATTCAATTTAAGTTAAGTCAAGCTAATTTACCCTGTAAAATCGGGCGCAGAGGGAGTCAGGCCATATCGGTGGCATCAAAGAGGAATTTTATCAGTTTTGATTCCAGGGTTTCCAATTAAGGCTCGATGCGCCTTAATATGAGTCGCGGTTAATTTTCACGAAAACTTGGCGCGACTTTTCGACAGGCTTCTCCTCGCCCGACGCCGGAGAGACCGACGCGAAGGAACCGGAGCTCCCGACGCGAATGAAATTGAAGAGTAATTAACTCTCGAGGATACAGAGGCGAGTCCGGGATCACGAAATATTTCGGATCCTCAATTACGTAATGCGCACCGCTACTACGATTTGCAACGCGATAGAATGGCGCGCCCAGGCGAGATAAAAGATGCATTCGAGAGCTCTCTTGCGTAGCTCGCGCGCAAATTGTTGGCCCGTCCCCTTCGATTCGCGTTCGACGGTCCTCTCGCCGGGGTGCCATTATCGAGGTGCCTCGCAGACTCACGTCTTCGCGGACGTCGAATTTACGGTCTCTCGCCCGGGGAAGCGTGGTTTCATCAATTTTTGATCGATCGCTTTTCGCCTCGACTTGCGCCACGCCGAAGATGGATAAGAGCGACATCGAGAAGCGATCCACCGCCTTCACTTTGGATTCGTATTAAATTTTCCCCACGAACGCTCCTGCGCGTCCCTTCTTCTCTCTCGCCTTTTTAACTGGCTGTGCTCGAGGCGCGGCGAAAAGTTCTCACGTCGGTAACTTAATAAACGATATGAAAACGAGGATCCTCGCGCAGACGGAGAAATGTGCCACTGCGAACTTTTATTCCATCAAGATAATATTGTTACGTTGATATATTGTTATTTCTAGCCGTCGTTGCCAGCGCAACCTTTGATAAACGACGTCATTATGAACGAAGCCCGCGTCTACAGTCGTGAGACATTCGATATTCGATAATTCCTCGGATTGGCACGTGAATTTTTTTAAAATCGACACCTGTCGATAATATTTATAAGAATTAGGGCTCCGCGCGCTGCCGCGTTTCAATCGACTTGATAAAGTGCAAATCAATTTCGCAGAGGTTTCTCTTCGAACGACCGTTCCTACGAACGATATATTCATCATTTTTTATATTTTCCGATCAGATATACTGTGAAAAAAGCATACCGGATCATGTACTAGTGCACTTGTCTCCCGTGGCCCATACGTTTTATCTGCACACGAAACGAATGGTCTTTCTAGCCGTGATCGATCTCATTCGTACCATTGATCCATCCTCCTCCCCCCCCTTCCCCCAGCCTCCCGCATCAATGATGCATCAAACTACGCGAGCTTTTCCACGAATACCCCGGCTATTACGAGCGCTTGAAAATACTGAACTAATTATTTCCCGCCTCTTGATGCACGCATTTGTAAAATCGCGCGTTTATAAATTCATACCGCGAGTTATCGTTCACCTTTTACGCGGCCTGCATTGTTAAAAAAAAATATATATATATATGCTTGCGCCCGAAGTATCAGTGCCATTCGCGTTTGTTATCAAAGATTAAATTGCCGCGATTCAAACGTGAGCTGAAGCGGAAAATATGGCGAAAACGTGAAATAAGGCAACATAACGTGGAATGTCAACGTTGCAATTAAGTAGAAGGTAATATATAAATTTTATTGGTCTTAGCATGGTGAAAAAAAAAAGTTCGAATGGCTGCAGCGATAATCGATAGTGTTTTATGGCCATTAATACCTCACCGGTTCTACGGGGGTGGGTGGAGGAGGGAAAGGGGGTAAGGGGAGGTCTCGATTATGGCTGCAAGAAAGAGAAGCCCTGGCGGATCCATAACCGGAGGATTTCGATACTGCTGCATTCTTAATTATCGGAGGATCAACTTTCCGAATAAGATTACGATGGATTCATTTACGAGATGAATAAGTCGTCGATTACGGAAAATATCCAGCATCGCGGAAAATTCTAACGAGTCCTCGACCTCGATCCAGAAGAAACGAGAAATACGACTGCTATTTCAATAGGAAAACGAGCATGTTAAATAATATTCCGCTATATATTTTGTTAATCGCCAGTTCGAACTAATTATGTTTGGATAGATTTTATCGATTTCATGTCATCAACGATCAATTTTATATGCGTTTAGACTGTTGGCTCCGAAAACAGAAAAATATCCCTTTGCGTAATGTATTGGCCAATTGTAACGAGAGGAAAGTCCTCTATTATGAGATAGGATTCTAACGTGAGACAGTAGGTTTTCAACGTCCAAATTCAATCGCAGATCTTGTTTCGCAACGATTACACGATCTGACAATCAATTTTCCACTAAATCAACTTCACTCCAAGGACAATGAATTCATGGTGGGACCAACGGACGATGCTTATTAATTCAGCAGAAACTCCGTTATCTCATATTATGAGTATATCTCATAATAGGGGACTTTTCACTATACCATTTGAGACAGCATATACTTTTCATTATTAATTTAATTCGACATCTTATTAAATTAGCTTGTTAATTGGACGTCTTTAATGTTAGTCGAAATGTACTGTAAGGCGTGAGTCACG